TGTGTAAGTTCAGGACCTTTCGATGAGCATTTATCAATCAATTGGTCATCTCATGCGTCTATAATCAAATAGCCTGAGGCCCTTTAACATATCAACAGAGTTATCTATGGGAAAAAAAAGTTTTTTTTTCTTCTCTTCTCCTCCATTCTTCAGAGAAGCAAGAATGATGTGTTTAGAGCCAAAAACCTCATAGCTAATTCATCTCTTTTCTCATGTTAAACGATGCCATTATTGTCCGTCAAAAAAAAGACAACAAAATGACTGACATGATAAGAAAAGCTTCTTTTTGAAAAAAAAACAAACAAGGTCAGAGTTTTCATTCGTTTGTGCTTCTCCTTGTTCATCTTCTTCTCTGTCTCTACTTCTTGTTCCTCTGCATTTTGTATGAAGTTTTCAATAGTTAATTGAGAAAGAAGAACGAAATTGTAAAAAAAAGTTGACAAAACTCTTTGGAGAAGAGGAAGAGAAGAGCAATTGCTGAAGAAATGCTTCATTACGTCATTTGTGGTCAGGTGTGGCAGTTGTCTGATTGTAAAGAAGATAAAAGTAGTTTCATCTTCTTCGTTCTTTTTACTATTTATGTCATAATTTTAAGTAATTCCTCTTCCTTATCTATACGTATAGCTTAGCATCTTCGCTTTTCAATGAAATCCAATTCAGTTCATTTTTATTTCTGAAAAGGGACAATTAAAGACCGAGCATATAGCCTCAAGCTATCTACGATCCGATTTCGCTTTTTGGCCATTTTACTCACTGACCAATATGGAACAAAAGCTTTTTCCGAACTTTTCACAGCTTCTTCCATCAGTTGTTAAACTTCAATTGGCTTTTAGCCAAACTCTTTTGTCCCTTTTCAACTATTTGTTTGAATAGAAATGTCCTTTTATGACTTTGACCATAACCCCTCACATGCGCTCGTTGCTAAGCATTCTAACTGGACTTTCATAACTAAAGTTCTTTTTTTAATAGTTTTTCCTTGAGCTTTCTTCTTCCACCCCCTTCCTTTCTTCTTTTTGTCGTTTTCCATCATTTTTTATCATCATTTTTGTATGGAAAGAGAGAGAGAGAGAGAGTTTTGATTCGTAGAGTCGAGCAAATTGCCAACGCGAAGAAAATGAAAAAATAGAAGTCTGTTGTGCTTTTTTTAAGAAAAAAAAGGAAAATATGTTAAGAGAGAATGAGAGAGAGAGTGAGAGGGAAAGAGAGAAACATAACGACATGAGGAAGCCGAATTGTTGAAGACAAAAAACAGCTTGAAGCTCATCTCCAGTGTCCACTATACGATCAGCTGATATCAACTGCTATCAATAGAAACTAACAATTTGGTTGAAAATAGAAAGAGAGTGGAAAAGAAAAAGAGAAAGCGAAGAGAGAAAGAGAAATGTAAGATGAAGCTGGAGGTCTACAAGCACGACGAAGTAGTGGCGACGTAAAAAAATTTTTGAAATGAAATGAACAACATGATGTGATTGGTGCCTCTTCTTGATTCTCTTGGTTTGAATATATTTTTAAAATATTTTCCCTTTTTTGCTTCCTCAATTAACTCACTACTTCATTGGCAATCGACCTTCCCTAACCTTTTCTTATCAGATATGACATCTGTCACGAAATTGTCATTAATTAACTTTCATTTATTCCTCCCCTCCCCCTCTTAACTATATGATTTCTTTTCATTTGGAGTAAAGAACAGGTAAATGAGGACTTTTGTACTTTTCTTCTTTTCTGTCGTTTTTTCTCGTTCGAGAGATTGATAATAACATTAAATGAGGAATGGATAGAGAGAAAGGAATAGGTAAAGAGGGATTGAGTGAGAGACAGAGAGAAGGAGGAAGTAAGATGACATAAGATGGACGAGTTACATCTCAATTTGGTAATGAATTGATAATATTTTTGGGGGTCGAATGAGGATTGTGCGGTCAGTAAAGATGGTTAGCGAAGATAATTGTGTGAAATATAAGCCAACCTGGGCTCTCTCTTATCTTGCTAAATCAGTTTCAGAGAGTTCAAAGATACAATGAGAGGTTGAGAGCAAATGAGAAAGTGAATGAGGATTGAGAAAGGGAGACAGGCAGAGAGAAAGAGAATCGTTTGGATCGAATGTAGAAAGCTCAGATCTTTGACGATTCTCATTATTATCTCTGAAATTTGAGGATTTTTGTGAAAAAAAAAGAAAATGCAATGAAAGAGACTCATGAGGGGATTTAGGTGTTAATGAAGATTTCTTCTTTCCTTTCATCATAATTGAGGGAAAGATTGTGAGATATTGTCCTTTTTTGGACATAATTCGCCGACGATTACTTGTCAGCCTTGGCCCATCATAAACCCATCAAATGACCTGACTATAAGTTACCAGCCGCCTTTAATTAAGATCTTTACTAACAAAAGAGAAGATAAAGATAATCAGATTATCAGTCAAGGACGAACATATGCTTTTGCCTTATATGTAGATGACGTCAAAAGCTTTCCGAATTAATCCTTTTGGGAGCTGATAGATGGCATGACCAAAAGCGGCACAAAATCCATCAAATGCTTGTTTAGAGCCTTGCAATCAATTATCTGCTTGTGTATGTGTGTGATAAATCCCAATATGGTAACATCTTTCCACACCTCTGTTCTCTTTCCTCCTCCCCTTTTTCCGATTTCTCTTCTACTCGTAAGGCCAATTACGAACCAGTTTTGGGACTATTTTCTTCGCCTTTCTTACTTTTTTACGCTTCTCTTCTGACATATATTTATCTGCCTTTGATTTTTTTGTTCGCACTCTCTCTCTCTCTCTCCCTCTCTCTCTCTTTCTTATTCTTTCTCTCCTCCTCTCTCTTTTCAATTCTTTTTTTCTCTTTCTCTCTCTCTCTTATGCCCATCTGACCAGTTGTACTTTTTAATTTTTTCAAATTATCAACTACTTTCCTCTTTCAAACTTTATTTTCAAACACGTTTGTCTACGAATCATCAAATTGTCTCCAAATCGCTTTATTGCTCTTGAAGCTTCTAACATAGCTGATAATCAGCTGTGATGATAAGAGCCATGATGTAACATTCCTAACTGACCATTTGACTGTTTTTTTTCCCCTAATATTTTCTGATTAAAAAGTAACCTGTTTGAAAGCTTTGGCTCCAAAGACAAATAAACGGACACACAACTCTAGCGAGACGTGGTTTCGCCCAACTTCATCGACCAGTTGGCACACAACAGTTCTTTGACTTTTCTGATAATATGATACATTCTTTTATAACTTGTTTTTCTCTTTCTGGAAATGGTCAGAATTTATACAATTGACTGACAAATAGAGGTGATAACTTCTTTCAAATAATACTCTTACACTCTCTAACTCTCTCTTTTTCTCTTTCACTTTCTCTTTTTATACTCTCTCTATCTACCTTAGAAATGAGTTCTTAATTCCTTTGCAGGAGTTTCATGAACGTTTACTTCGAAGACTTTTTGTTATTCTCACCGCATAATCATGACTGATAGCTTGTTTAATCCGACATTATATTCCATTCAGATAGTTCTTCAGGATTTTATTATACTTTCACCTCTCTCTCTATCTCTCTTTCTCTCTCTATCTCTCTGTCTTCTTCATCGCTCTATCTCATTCTCTTCTTTTAGTATTCAAAGTTCTCTTAATCTATGGGACAACGGCGGTTTCGTTGGTCCATCAACTATAAGACGGAAAAAAACTGAAAGCCATCCAGTTGATCCGGTATTTTCCCTCACACACTCACTTTTTTTCTCGTTTCTCTCTTCATTATTACTCTCTTTATGAAAATCTCTAAGACTTGTGTCAGGATCGTCCTCAATCGGGCTGTCGTTTACGCGTAATTTGGTTCGTTTTATAAACTACGAAGCCTATTGAAACTTATATTTGTTACTATCTATACCTGTTTTTACCTCTTTCACTCATTAGCTGACCAATAGTAAGGGAATCATCTCATTCATCTAATGCATATCTAACTTCTCTATATAAACCTTCAAAGGAGTTTCACTGTTCGAAACAAAAAAAAGCTTTTGTTTGGTTTAATTTCTGTTTTTACTTAGCACGTTAATCAAGATTGATATTAAACAAATAGCTTTTATATTATTTCTTCATTTTCTGTTTTTTCTTTCTTACTTTTCATAAAAAATGGTTTTTATCATTTCGTATTATGGGGAGGAGTTTTGATGAAGGTTGTTGGCGAGAGGAAAGGACAAGGAGTACTGCCTGACCACACATCCCTCAATTACCTCTTCTCGTGTTAACCTCCTTTCCTTCTACCAATCATTTGCTCTCCATCTCTTCTATGCTCTACTCAAAAGAATCTTTGCTGCTTTTCCATGTCGTAATCATAATTTCTTCAGCTTTTAGTTTGATTCTGTTTACTTTTCTACGCCAACGATGAATTGGTCATTTCAATTTCTTATCAGTTCATTCATTGGTTCAGCACGAATGACCGCTGCTCCAGCTTTTCGTCGGTTCAGACTTATTGGCCTTTGCTTTCTTTTCTTACTCTCATTGCGCCATTCACTCTTTCTTTTTCATTTTTCTCTTTTAAACTTCTTCTATACCCTCTGTCTCCTTATGTTTTGAGCTTGTGGATGAAAAACATCTTTCTATTTCATCTTCTTATAGAATTTTCATTTTTCTTCTTCCAAACTCACAAAGAAATTCAGTGAACTGAATAATTCTGTGGTTTTGTCTCATCTTTTCCGGTCAGAAAAGACTTTCCGAGATTGTTATGGATTATCTCCTAAATCAATCAGTCAATGAATGCCATGAGAAGAACATAAACGATGGTCATTTGGCTAATTCGAATTAAGCCTTTCCTTTTATACTGTATTACTCTTTCAACTTATCTCCTTCTCTCTTTCTCTCTCTTTTTCTCTCTTTATGTTATTTTCCATTTATCTGAGTTTCTTTCTTCACTTATCACTTGACTTATACAGATTTGAGTTAACATATAATATTTTCAGTCTTTCAACCGTCTTTCAAGCCAGTACTAATTATTGAGAGTTATATGTACGAATGGCTGAGTTCGCTTCAATTTCTTTTCCAACATTCTTTGGATCAGAAGATCCAATGAATAATAATCTGGGAAGCAACAGCTCATCTTCAAATGGAGGAATGTTTGTCCCAATGCAAACAGATGATTGTACTGATATGTCACCCAACAAATCCGTGAGTTTTATCCTTTCGTTCAAACCAGCACCAACAGTTGTGTTGTTGGAGAAAAAGAAGATTTTCCGTTCTTTTTTTTCTTTTTTTTTTGTCTTTCCTCTGACCAGGTGATAACAACTACCTTCAACGGCTGAAATTTTGTTATCAAATTGCCTGGAGGAATGACCATTATCATATTATGTGCAGGCTCTCCAATGCAGCCACAAAGTCAACCTTTGAAACATTTCACTGACCATTCGAAAATTTTTATCAGAGAATATAAATTTTGAAACTGTGTTCTTACAGAATGATCCCCCACCTCCGCCACCAATTGTCATCTGCCCAACAGAAGTTGACCATATCAACATCACATTGGAAAAGAACCAGCAATGTGCCTGCAAGGATTGTGGCAAATTATTTAATTCCGTATGGTATCTGAAACAGCATGCTGTCAAGCATTCGAACGACAGACCTTTCAAGTGCAAATTTTGTTTTAAAGTACGTTCTTCTTCTTATTCTTAATCGAACTTTAATTCAACCTTCTTCAGACATATAAATTTCGATCAAATCTCTATCAACACAAATGTCCAGATCGTCAGAAACATCTTGGACAGACGTAAGTTCTCATTCATATTCTTATATTTTGTATGATTATTTTTCAGAAGACGTGGGATGATGAATCTTCCAAACAATACTCGCCGAATGGAAACTAACCAGATTTTGAAAAGTAGAATTGAGGCCAACATGGTTGCCGACGAAATGACAACGTAATTTTTGTCTTTCTGTTCTCCTCTCTATTTAATGCTTTTTTACAGTTATCAATCGAGTTCCATGTCCGATAATGAGGAAAATGATATTCCAATCACTTATGGACTTATCATTCATCGGTTCGAAGAAAATTCATCTGTGGTGAATTATTTCCGATACTTCTTTTCTCATTTTTACTCTTCAGATATCGCAGAATTACAGAGCTCCACCTAGTCCTCGGCCAATTTCCCCACGGGAAAAGACCATTCGACCCATAAATTGTATTCGTGAACACCAACTACCAGACCATGAAATCGAATCCTACATCTCAGAAAACAAGAGCAAAGTTAGTTTTTATGAATTTGCTTAAGTCTTTTGAAAAAGAAATGAAAGAAAACGAAAAGATTTCGCTCCCGGGTGGGCTCGAACCACCAACCTTTCGGTTAACAGCCGAACGCGCTACCTATTGCGCCACGGAAGCATGGAGATCTGATTGATTTCATAGCAAATCTTTTTTCAAGAAAAATCGTTTCAGTTATTTGATCAAGTTTTTACCTGTTACAGTTACACACATGCCGAAAATGCCGTTTGTTATTCCCCACTGAAGCCAGTTTGATGAGACACTCAGCTGCTCACATGAAAGAGGACATGTATCCTTTCAAATGCTCGAACTGTCGTCAATCGTTTGAATCTGATCGTGAACTTCGCCGACATGCACAGTTACATGGTGTGGGTCCCTGGAAATGTGAACAATGCAACGGAGTATTCCGATCATCTCCTGCTCTCCGCCGTCATCGCGATCAATGCCGTTCTTGTCATCTACCTGTTGAGCAGAATGATATGGTAATTAGATTCTATTTTGATAGACTGCTTTGCATAACAAAAAAACTAACAGAATATGCTAATTTCTCTTTAGTTTCAATTGGTCACGTAGTTCACGTAACCCAATTGATATTGAGAATGTCATTTCTGCAAGTAATTTGTGTGTGAGTCGGTTGTACTATCTTCTCAAGGTTCTCATACAACTTTTATTAATTTTTTTATATTTCAGATTGTAAACGTTGCGTCACCAATTGATCCATTTGGTTTTATTCCATCAGAATCAGATCAATTATATAATGGAAATAATAAGAAAAGTCCTGATAGTGGAGTTGGAAGTGAAGGAAGTCCCGATCGATGTCATTCAAGTCCCGAACGTGCCCAATTACCAATTGAAGATTTATATGATATGTGTGCAGGGCAAAAGAAGGAAAAAGATGATGATGAAGATAGTGGATTTAGATCACGTCTTAATTCAGGTAAATATTTTTGTAACATACAATCAGATATAATAATAATAGTTAATATAGTTACCCAAACGTGTTCACCTGGATCAACATTTTCCTCTGATGAAGGATCGCCACATAGGAAGCTATCTGGATCAGATGTTGATTGTGGTAAATATAAATCTCTCTCTAACTATAAATTATAATTAATAATTAAGGATTACGAAGTTGGGATGATATGGTCTCAATGAATGACAAAACATTTATGGGATCAATGGGATGTTTGATGGATGAATTAAAAACAACCTCTCGTCCCATCAAAAACGTTTGGTACGTATTTCAAAGAACATATTTTCAAATTAATTTTCTATTATTATTTTTTATAAAAAAAATTTTTTCAGAAATCTTTGAGCCAATCAATTGTCTCATCCGGTTCTGACCTTATATGTACAAAATATGTAAGTATTAATGAAACAGAAACTATATAAGAACTTTGATGTTTTCAGATTATTATATATATCTATATGTTGTATATATGGATATTATTTATAGTAAGCGTCTTTTGGACGTATAGTTAATATAGTTAACAACTGGTTAATAATTTCATTTCAACTATTACTTTTATCCCTATTCCATAGAGGTACACATTGATACATCTTCATCAATTCTAATAACTATCTGATTTACAGGCGTTCAAATCAGAATTGAAGTATAGAATTTTGGACAAAAAGTATCGTTAACGGTTAGTTTATTTTCTTTTTTTTGAGCTTTCAACTATGGAATGCTGTTTGATCAAGTTGGTAAAACAAGTATTTCCTTCATCTCTCTCTTCCTTCTCTTTCTGACTCTCTACACCTCCTTAGAAATCCCTCTTTAATGAGAATTTCTCTCTTTCCATAGATTACTTCTAGTTAGTTGGAACTACCTCTCTGTCTATCTCTGTCTTCTTCCGCACATCTATTAAATGATTCCTTCATATGATTTTCCATAGCCATTCCAATGAATTCTCTTTAGAATGTATATACATATGAAGGAATGGTCTCTCTGAAGATCAATTCCTCCCTCTCTCTCTCTCTTTCTCTCTCTTTCTCTTATTCATTCTCTTGATCTGTTCTGATTCTGTCACGTCAGTTCTAGTTATGAACGATGTTGACAACAATTCAGATAATGACGTCGTTACTATTTTAATATTTTAACTCAAATTTAAATATTGAAACTTCGAATGAGAATTGAAAGTACTTTACACCTATTGCTTTCACAATATTATCATCGTCATGCTTTTCGTGGAGCTTCTGCTATTGCTTGTCCGCCTCCAGCTTTTTCTCCCTCCATTCGCCCACAGCTATCAGCTGCCTTCTTTTTTGTTTTTCTTTTCACCTTTCTATCCATTGGATTGGAAGAATTATGATGTAAGATAGCGATTGAATGACTGTCATTCACAACCGATTCGCAAAAAAGATTTGAACGATGAATTTGTTCAAAAAATTCCTTCAAACTCGCTTCGCCTCTCTTTTTCCATCTTTCTCTCTCTATCTTTCTCTCTCTCTCTTCTTTCCTCTTTAACATTGTTATTCTGGCTTTTTGCCTTACAATTCAACAATAACCTGTGTCTTGACGTTCCTCCAAACACAAACTCTGGCTGTTTTTTCATTTCTTCATTTCCTATTTCATATTTTCTCTCATTAATTTTTATTTAAAAATAAACAAAAAAGGAATCAGCTGCTCTATACACTTTGTTAGAAACAACATGATTGAGCTGAAGAGACATGCAATTGATGGAGAGCTTTTCAATCAATATTATGTGAAGGAGGAGGGACTGTTAGATGAGAGAAAATGAGAAAATTGCTGAAAAGAAGATCGAGAGAGACGAATAAAAAGAGAGAGAAAGAAGAGAGAACGAGAAATAGAGAAAGGGGAGGGGAAATTGAACCACATTAGTCATGTTGCCTGCGTTATACTCTTGTGACTGTTCCTTCGAGCTCCGAGCACATGATTTCTGATGTTTTCAAAGCCCTTTTTTGAATCTTTCGAACTGTCAGCCTGTTCTTTCATTTTATATATTTTCTTTAAGAAAGCCTTTAACAGAAATGAATTGAAAAAAGAGGCAAAATATGGCTGACTGTTCGATATTTATCGATATGACTTTCATGTTATTGTGTGTAATGTTGGTTAAGGCTGGATGACTGGTAGTCAATTTTGAGAGAGAGGGGGTGGAGAGAAGAAAGGGAAATAGAGAGAATGAGAGAGAAAGAGATAGTTGAGAGAGAAGAACGAAGAGCACAGTCTGGTCTTTCACTCGGGCCTTTTTGCCTTTCCATAGTTGTTGAGCGAAAATAATAGTTATCAGCTGCTTTTGGACAAGCTGACAATGAGTTTTGAGAGTTCTCTCACTCCTCATTCACTTGTGTAAAAGTGGTTTAAATTAAAAAAAAACGCATATTTGACCGAAATTGTCGTTGATGATCAGTTTCTCTCATCTTTTCTCCTTTTCATTTCCGGAAAAAAATAGTTTTGAATGAAACTACCGTAATGAATGATTGTAAGAAGACAAAACTATCAAAAAGATTTGTTTTCCAACTTGGCTTCTTCTTCTTCTTCTTCAACTTCGTCATCGTCTTATTCTCTTCTTCGAGTGTTTGTCGTTCAATCTCCGAATTTTACCTTTGACCTCATCTTCTAATTTGACATAATTTTACATAATTTCATGTTTGTTCTTTCTTTCAAAACTTAGAGAAAGAACAAATCGATGAGTTTTCATTCAATTTTCAGCTTCTCCTCTTCTATTTACTCACGTTGGTCAAAGTAAAACAGCTGAACAAACATCTGAACAACTATTTTTTGAGCAAAACGGGAAAGAAAAAAAATGGCGCATTTTCGTTAACCATATTTGGCTTTGTGCGAGTTTTCTCCTCTTTCTCTCTCAATCTGTTATCTTTTTCTCATTTTTATTCAATCAATCATCTGTTTTCTATATATATATATATATATATATATACTATTTGAGAGGTTTTTTTTTGTCAGATAATTTATTGATTCGGAGCTTTTTTGGATAATTCAAAAAGGTTTTTGACTGTTTAAAAAGGCGTCCTCGACGAGAATTTGTCGATTCAAATACGCCAATCCATCAGTGAAGTTTGACATCTTTATCTATAAGAAGTCTCTTATAGTTATAGCTTCTCTCTTTTCCCTTTCTCGAATCTTTTACACCCACATGGCCTTGTTTGGCTACCGTCATTTAGCCCAATCTGAGAGGTCTGGTTTGTAACAAGCATCTTCCTATATTATGCTTATCATTTGCCACAAAACCATTCTCGTTTTCGCTCTTTTTTTTTCTTTGAAAATAATTCAATGCCTCTCGTTTCTTATCCATTTCATCCAGATTCTTCTTAATCTATGATAAGATTTGTCTTCTTCCCTTTTTTTTTCATATAATTAAACTGTCAAATCTGTCATGAAATCGGAAAGTTTCTGCTTCCTTCAGCTCTTTCTGTTCTGCTAAAGCTTATACATTTCATTATTTTTCCTATCAATGATGAATACTTGAAGACAGTTGATAAGGAATTTCATATCAATTCCTTTTTATTTTTATAATTGTCTGATTGACATATGTCATCTTTCTAATAACTTATGATTACCTTATAAGTATATAAACGTCCTCATATAACCTTCAAAGTATCCTTCATTAGCTTATCGTATACATTCATCAGACATTTTTTTATGTCGGCTTCTCTCTCTCTCTATCTCTGCTTCTCTCTCTCTTTGAATCCTTTTTGAAAGTTCGATCACAAAAAACGCCTTATTAGGTCAAACTGTTGTGTTTTTGCTTTGAAATTATATCAGTCTTGTTCTATAATACCCTAGTTTAATGGATGACATTCATTTAGAAAAGATGGGTCATTTCCTTTTTTTTCTTTATTGATTTCCCCTTCTCTCTCTTTCTCTCTCTCTTTCCCTATCTTTCTCTTTCTGTGTTCATCTAATTTGATAACAACATTTTTCAGATGTGAGGACATGTAGTTCGACCTCGTAGTCATTCAAATGAACTACAGCAGCCTTCATGAGAGACGATGAAAGATTGAACGCCAAATAAGGTAAAACATCATTCCCACATCTCATCATATTACATTTATTTCTTTATAGACCTTTTGTGAATTTTCATAAAAATCTGAAAGTTCTATTAGAATGTGGTAAACGGTGAGTTTAAAGTCTTTTGAGTTTAATGAGAAAAAAAGTATTTCGTGTGGTATCATTTCTTCTATTATTTCTCTTTTTGTTAGTTGTCAGCAAATAGAGAGATGAAGAAATAAGCAGAGAGGAAGTAAGATGCAGAGATAAAGAAAGTAGAAAAGAGAGAAGAAGAGAATGGAAGAGTGAGGAAGAGAAAAATAAATTTATAAAGAGGAACTAAATATTTCTGATAATAAAAGGTTTTTTTTTCAGTTTTTGTTGAAAAATATGTAGCCGGTTGTTGATGAGCTTCGTTGATTCAAGTTATAACTCGTGTTTTCTTAATAACTCTCCTCTGCAAGCGACGTGTTCAAGACGTAGAGAGGATCCGCCAGTGATTTGATACTTCCAAGCCCCTACCAAGTTTCAATATCTTCAGAAGAAATTAATGGGATAGTCTTTCATTCTCTGATAACACCAGACAGAGCAAAATCCTTGGCCATACAAAGTATGATATCTTCTGTTGATTTTTATTTTGTTATTCGCCTTCTCTCATCATTCGTTCATTCAGCCGGCTTTCCATATTATGTTCTTTCGAAACGGTTCTTGATTTCATTCAAGTTCCTTACATTCATATGAAATTTCTTTTTTTATTATTTTCCACATCATTTTCATGTGATTGCATTCAGTCTTTCTTTCAAGCCGTATAAGGCAATTGGAACGTGTGTACACGTGCTTTCCCATAGTTTTCTTAGCTTTCACTTTGCCATCTCCACCTTTCTCTCTCTCTCTCAACACCTTTGGGCTTAGGTAGCGTCTTTTCAACAGCTGCAGTCTCACATCTCTTACTTTTTTTTCATAAAGCAAACTCCGTTCTTTCTTAATTTCCTCCTCAATTCCCCCTTATCTTCTCTCTCCCCTTTCTTCCTATCAACCACTCAAATCAGATGTGTGGCTTAGCCATAGACCATCCCATCAGAATATCGTTTGCCGTCGGAAACCTTCTCTGATCTCTCATCGTATTCCGGCTTTTCTCATATCCGGATGCGACCTACACGGATATTTCCGGCGGCACTACATTCGCGGATCGTCTCCGTCAATCGCCGTCGTCCTATAAGAACAGAGTTGTATATCAAAGATTTAGTCTTTTTTTCAGAAAACTTGAAGACTCTTCTTTTTTTTCCCGCTCTTGAGAGAATACTTTTTCTCTCCACCCTTCTCCCTCCCTCTCTGTCCGTCTGTCTCTCTCTCTTTCTCTCTCACCCTCTCTCTCGTTTTCCTGCCGATTAATGAAACATCATGTGGTGATACTCCAGACAAAAAATTCATGTTCGTTTCCCATTAATTTTGCTCAGTTAATCGCTCCTTATTAGCCAAAGTATGTTAAATGACCATATAGAGACCTAGTCTGATATCCAAATACATTTCTATTTGCTTGCTTTTCTTAGAAAAAAAAGAAATATTTCTATAAAACTACAACCTTCAAAAGATATAGCTTGCTCCTGTGATCCCTTATTCGGTCAAATATCCGATTCTGAATTCTTTGTGATTTTTCAAAAACCTGTAGCTTAAGAAACAGATGTTCTATTTGTAGAAAAAGCTTCAATTTCATTGAATTTTCAATAATATCTAAGAACTTTTCTTGAAAATTCAATGAAACATGTAGTTTGATAGAGTTCTTTTTGTATTTCATTGACTTTCAATTCTATTCATATAGATTGAAAGAAAATCTCTCACGCCTTATCAGTTACCGATTTGACCAACATGACATGGTTTTATCATCTCCAAATAGTTTGTTTGGCTTTCTCCGCTATTTTTCTCAATTTTAATCTCGAAACATCCATGTTTTACCTTGTCCCCTGTATTTCTTCTCTTTATATATTATCCTTCTCTATCATCCGTCTCCCAACTTTCTCTCTAACACTCTCTCTCTCTCTATCTCCTTCCTTCTCTAAAAACCACTATCTCAAACATTAGAATATCTCTCTTAACACATTTCTATGAAAGTGCTAAACTTCTTATTTAAAAATGATTTCTTGTTTAGCGATATGTGCGTGCCATGTAGATATATTGACCGTATCATATAAATATCCATGTATTAACTTGAATATAAATAAATATACTTTCTGGGTTCTTCTATTGTTTTCATACACACTCAACACAATATTATTTCTTTCAACACAAAACTTGTAATTGTTTTTGTAAGCGATGGTCATGGCTATGTATGCTGAAGGTGAAAAATCGAAATTCAAAGAACTTTGTCTTTCAATCAATCAATATCATATTGCAACTGTTATAATTTATAATAAGCTGAACGCTTTCATACCTCGTCAGTAGTTGCAAGGATAGACTTGTTGCAGCTGCTAGAAGAGACACCTTCTTACAGGAAAATTGATTATATTTTCTTTTTTGGAAATTATTTGCTTGTCCGGACTCAGTTCGCATCTTCGATTTATATCAACATTTTTGAGGGTTTTCACCCTTGCTGTCAATTTGAGTGCAGATCGATGAGATGATCTACACCTAGGAAGAGAGCATGTCTTAGATTAATCTTTGTAGTATAGAGTACCCGCTGGACTCCTTTTGGAGTATGTTGACTCCGCCTTTTTGATCTATCTACTTTCCCGCTATGGTCAGTCTTGCTGTCAAATCTTTGAGAGGTGGTTGTCGTTTTGAAGGTCTATCCTCGAGTCGTTTAAAACAACAAAAATAGCGTTTAAAACTTAGGGTTTTTAATTTTGACACAGTTGAGAATGAGTGAGATGAGAATGGCTTTGTATGGCAGTAAGTGAATGATTTGATTTGTGATAAACTTTTCCCTTTCGTATGATTTTTCCTTTGTTTTTGCTCAGAACAGATGGATGAAGTATAGAAGTAAGATTATGTATGTAGTCTTCTGAGATGTTTGAAAACTATTCTTCGTTGAAATGATGAGTTGTATCGTAGAGCTTTCTTAGAAGAATTGTAGGAAGTTGTGTGACAGGTGACAATGTACTAGTCTAGAAGTGTTCACTTTTTGCTTTACTTTCGAGAGTATACGTCGTGATATGAGAAAGAGCACTCTTTTCATTTTTGAAAGTTAGTGTGGATCACAGGAGCCATCCTACATGGGCTTTGAGTGTGATAGTGTCTTTCCTAGTATGAAGTGTTTTTCATGGAAAACTGATCTATTTAGTTTCATGCATCATCAGTAATGGGCAATTTTGAAAATAACACAAAATAGATTTCAAGAAAAGGTGATTTGTCAGGAAATGAGAGTTAAGCGAAGAGAGAAAGATATGTGAGAGTTGTTTGTGTGTTAGGTTTCAGGGGATTAGGGGTTGAAGGGGCTGCACTCGGACAACCGGCTGTCGGGGCGAAGCTATGCCCAAATTTTACAAAAAATAAATACTTCATTTAAAGAAAATATATTTATTCTTATTCCTGCCATCTTCCTATCCCCCGGAGGCTCTTTTTCCCATCCTACCATTTCTCAACCTTCGGTTGAGATCAGGGTAGGGGCGTCGGGTATCGATCTACAGTTAGTTGACGGGAAGCGAACCGGCAAGCTCCTACTCAGAACTACTGCCTTATCCACTCCTCCAACTGGCCCCTTATCCCTAGTGTTTGCAAAACCTTTATATAGCCTGAAAAATCCTCGAAGATAAAAAGATCTGCCGACCCAAGCAGGGTCCGCATTTTGCAGACACCCACCCGGGATTACTCCTCATAACGAGGAGTACACTGCTCTCACACCACAACAACTCTCACCCAACACTTTTCTTCCACGAGATAACTTGAATTGCTTGCCGACGTATATCTTATCCACCCTTATATTCGAAGTTCGAAATACTGCGCAAGTGAAACCATCATTATGTTAGCACAAAGGTGGGGCCAGTGTTGCTTAACAATCTGATGGTCTAATCATAACAGTTTCAGAACATCGAATATGTGAGGTCATGAGATATCCGTCGGATTTGAGCACAATCAGAAAAAGAAATTCAAAACTAAAGACAAACTCCTCTCACTCACTTCCTCACGCACAAGAGAAGGGCGCACCTTCGTCTCACTGATCTCGTCACCTGCAACATCAATAATGGTAAATGGAAAAGAAATTATAGTCACTTATCTTATCATCATCGTTGTATATCCCGGGAAAGACTGCACAGAAGGAGTTCCTCATAGAGAGAAATAATTAACCCTCTCAATTCATCTACTCACACCTATCATCTTTTATACAACGGGTTGACTCTCATTCCAACGTATATCTTACCCACCCTCATATCCGAAGTTAGAAATACTGGGCAGGTGAAGCCATCATCTGTTAGAACAA